TAAGGGGGAAGATTGGATTTGTGATTAAACAAGCCAGATCAGGTTATGTATTTCTGTGCAGTTTTATTTCCTTCTCTGCCAGCACTGGGATATGAATAAAAGGGTATATGTGTAAAAAGGCAAGCATTTGCCATATGGGGAGATCTTGTTAAAATGGCCACAAAGTTTTTGAATGTAAATGTTTGTATTTGGGATCTGGCATGACAAAGGAGTCAGAGATGAAAGGCACACACAGCACTTGTCTTTCCTTCTGCCAGGACAGTCAGGAAATAGCATTTTTCTGAGCTTCCCAGCTGTCCTTGGTGATGAATTACTCCTTGTTTCCATTTAGTCCAGCTTCAGCTGGTCTGAATATATTCTATTTACAAGGGCAGTGAGATCAGTTCAAGTTGCTCCAGACTTCAGTGTGCTGACGTTGAAGGAGATAAACAGAGTAATTTGCTGATTCACCATAACAATTTTAATAAAATATGAGTCAGGATTTTCTTCTTTCATGTAATCATGAAATTAGGTTAGCATGCTTTGCTGAGCACTTAGGTCTACTATGTGTGTTCCCAATAGCATCTAATGTTCCTATGGTATATTTTTGGAAGCATAACTGGATTTACAAGGCCACATTTTCTCCTGTTTTCTCCTGGCTTCCCAACAAACTAACATTCACCACTCGGTGTCTTGAATTAGAAGCTCCATCTTCACTCTATTACCAGTCATGATACTAAGTGTGTTTTCTGCAGCTTCTCACCTGCTGGACTATCAAATCTTCATTTAAAATCATCACTTATGTGGGTTTCTCCAAAATCTAGCAGCTAGTGGGAAGGTTGCTGAATGTCACAGGAGCCACACTCAAATTACAGAATACAGAGACGCTTCTTTTCCCAGATGGTTCATTCATTTTGGAGCAGCCTTCTTCCTACTAGACCTTGCAGCTCACAACCTTTCAAATGGCACCTGCATTTCCCCTTTCATTTGTCTCACACTGTGTCGACCCACTTAGCGATGAGCCTTGATCTCTGCATGCTCTGGCAGTGCCTTTCTAGTTTCCCTCAGTTCAAGAAGCTATTTCAAATTGAAGTAGCTGCTGTAGAAAATGACATCAGTATTTAAACAGATTTCCTGAGGAAATCTTTAATGGCTATTTTTATAGCTTATTTTGAGCTTTTCAACTTTTTCCTCATTGGCCAAAGGTCAAAAAGTTATTTCATACAAGACCAGAATTTGAGCATCAGAACAGGAAAAGAGCTAATTCTGACTAATCTCATGGTTTTGATTGTTTTGAATTGCTTTCATCCTAAGCACCAGTGGCAGAAGAAAAAGTGAATTGCGTTCTGTATTGAAAAGAACTGTTTTGGATGAATGAAAACATTCTCCACTTCTAGGCTCATGCAATAAATAAACTTAGCAAGTCTTTTCACATTTGTGTGTAAAACTCCATAAAAAATTGCAGGAGCCACAAAAGCTCAGATCTCAGTGGACCTTTCCCTTTCCAGTTTCCTGAGCAGAAATTTGCAGATCAAGTAGCTCTCAAGAACCCTCTTCCACTCTGTAAGGTCTGATTAGCACACTGTGGCTACTGAATGGAAAAAGCAGACATGGAGGATAAATTCCTTCCTGAAGTCTGGCCAAGCACTCCATGCAAGGCACCCCAGGACAAGAGGGAGAGCTTGCTGTGTTCTGACAGATGTGTGCAAGCTGTCGGATTCTCTCTGGCAGTCTGGAAAGTAAAATTTCTTACAGTAGCATTTCTCCTTTTTGTGTGCAAAAGCAAGGGGAATGCCTAGTTAAGCTGGAAAGTGCACTGTTTCCTCCCAGCTTGTCTCAGAAGCATAAGCTTAAAATCAAGGCCGTGGGGATTTTTTTTCCTCCAATCATTCTCTTTGAGACAGACTATGCATCATATGTGACATGAAATTCTGCAGTTTTGGAGTGAAAATATAACACTGTGATGGAATTTTCCAAAGGTAAAAACTACAAAACTATTTTCTTCCTCTCTACTGAACTGCAGAGCAGAGCTAAATGAGCAGGGTATCTCAAATCTAAATTCATGTGAGAATTGGGGGAAGCATAGATCAGGATCTGACCTTTACAATTCCAAGCTTGGTAATCTTCTTCATTTTTAAACTGCCTTTATTACTATCGCAGTTGGAACTTACTCTGCATATCAAAATTGCTATGAAATTTGATAAAATTTGATGATAGAGCTGGACCCTATGGCTGCAGCTAGGTGCTGTTATTCTAGCAAAGCGTGACCTTGCATTAGGCTTTCCATGCTACACACTTGGAGCAGTGCATAAAAGCAGATAAAGGGCACAGTTCCAAGCCTCTGTGAAAAATTGGCTGTGCTTCTAAAATTTTATTCAGCAAGAAATCACTGCTGTGCGTCACTGGTCAAAAGATGACTAAGCTCTTGTTATAGACAATATAAATGATAAGGATTTACAGCTAGATTATCCCACTCCTATTCAGAAATACCTTACTTCTTAGCCAACGAATTAGAGATAAGCAAATCCTTAAACTAGGTATTTGCTCAAAAACTTTGCTGATGAGAACGGTATTTATGTATGTGTTAAGTGCTTTCTTGAATTAGGGCCAAAGCAGGAGGAGGTAGCAAGAGTCCAGGCTTCAGAGAGCATTTCTCTACATGGCAGAGGAGACCTGCCCTCAGAAGTTACCTTTAAAATCCTCATTTCCAAAACAAACAAAATGTGCTGGGTGAAATCCCAGTTTCACTGAGCTCAGTAGCAAAAGTCCCATCAACCTCACTGGACCCAGGAATTCATCATACAGATGTCCTTCTCTTTCATTCAGCACCTTCTGCCACTTTTCTTCTTGCTGAAAATATATTGCTGCAAACCCTGTGATCATTCCTCTGGCCTGACTGCATATGGCCATTCATACTAGCATGGTGACATCATGATGGCACAGATTTACATCCACCTCCTCGAAAATGCGCAAGAAGGTAAAGGCACAGTTCCAAGAAAATCCAGCTCTCCCTGCCTCACATTAAATTAGGTTTATCAGCCACTGAACATAAGCTTTTCTCTATACACTAATAGCTATTCTTACCCAGCCACGGGGCTGGAAATTACCTGGTTACTGTTTTCATAGTGCATTAACTAATTGGTTTACCCAGTCAGTCACCCAACAGAGACATACAAGTGTTGGGCAGAGCTATGGGCTTCGTTCCGGGCTGGCTGAGTGCGGGTGAGTAACTTCTGGGCTGTGAGTGAAGTCGTTAGAGCGGAGCAATGGTTTGTATTGAGTTTGTAAGGGCTTGCGAGTTGTGAAAATCTCATCACTGATATATTTCTACTTTGACAGTTAGGAACATAAACTAATGCTGAGCATTTGGCATTTAAGGCATAAAATGAAGTTGGTTCATGAGCAGGTTTTTTGATTACTCAGTGCTGTGTATTTCCTTCAGTAGCACTTTATCACTGCTTTCATAAAGTGGTTCTCAAGACGAAAGAGACATTGAAGATGTTTTTAAGGGCCCTAAAGAATAACAACTGCTTTGGGGATTTTTGTGTTTAACAAGGGTCAGATTGCTCCATTTATTTATTTATTTATTTATTTATTTATTTGCTTACTTACTTACTTACTTACTTACTTATTTATTGAGAGAGAGAGAGAACAGATTAAAGCCTTGATGTTGTGTAATACGCAAGAGCCAGCCTAGAAGTATCCGGGTGCTGTAAATTAAAGTACAGACATAGCTCTTTAAAGTTATTATATAGATTTGCCTGTCATAAAAGTTAGCTTAAAATACTGACATAGCCATTTCTTGTCAAGGTATGCTCAGTGTCATGAGTCATCGTAGCTTTGAATCTGCACTTTTTCAAGAATAATCAGGACTTACCCATTTGGCATCAGTTCTCAGAACACTAAAGTATATTATCTTTGATTTTAGTTATGTGCAGTGGGCAAAGCAGACACTGCACAACAACTATCAAGTATTTAGTACTACAACGAAGAAAGACACAGATGCCGTAACCTAATTCCATGCAGGGATTTGTTCCATCCAGCAAGTTCAGTAATTGATCAAAGAGATTTAATTTTAGAACCCCACAGCTCAAAAGACTGCTGTTCTAATCTCACCACTTGAAACTAGAACCGAATTAGTGACACGCTGCATATTGAGGAGCATATGGAGCCTGCATGGAGGGTCTCTCCCAGCAGAGCTTCTGCAGAGCCGGCTCCTCTCCCAGGAACTGAAGGCTGTGTGGAAAATGAGCGTGGGGGGGAAGCACTGTGTTGTGTCCAAGTCATAACGTTGGATTTTAAGCTATTGAAAAGCAGTTCCTTGCACTTACACCACCTGAAACACCACAAGCCCTCTACTTTGCGGCCCTTAAGCTTCAGATGTGTTCACTGGGGTCTTTCGGCAGCTCGGCATCCCCTCGCTGTGCGTGCCCACACCGGACAACCACCACCAGGCGAGGGCTGAGCTGCGCCTCAGCACACAGTGAGAACAAAACCGCAGACGCGGCATGCGGGAAGGAGCTCAGCAGCAAAGGAGCTGTTTGGACACTGCTCGGGGAGTACGGGACGGAAGATGGGCAGCGGGAGGGCGAAGCCGCCTTCCCCTGGGTGCCCGAAGCTGCCCGCCTGTTGAGGGCACGCACCCTGGGCGGGACGGCGCCGGTGCTGCGGGAGGCGAGTGACGCCCCGCGGCAGAGCGGCAGCACCGCGAGCTACCGGCGCGCGTCAAGGCGTTGAAGGCCCGCCGTCCCGCCCCGCTCCTGCGGGCACACCGAGGCGGAGGCGCGCGGCCGGCCCCGTGCTGCGGCGGGCGGGAGCCCCGCCTCGGCCCGCGTGACGCGCGTTGCCATGGCCACCCATTTACGCCACCAGGCCCGGGGGGGGGGGGGGGGGAGGGAGGGGCCGCTTCAGCACCAGGGCGGCCGCGGACAGCAGCGGCCCCGGCTCGGCGGCGGCTCTCTGGTGTGGGCTGCGCGGCCGCCGCGGAACCGGCGCCGGGTCAGCGCGTCTCTGGGCGGCGGCGGAGCCCTCCGGTGAGTTCTGCGGGAACCTCCGGCGGCCGTTCGCGGTAAGCCGAGCCCCCGAGCGCAGGGAAGGGGAGCGGGACCGGGCGGGGGGGGGGGGGGGGGGGGGGGGGGGGGGGGTCCCCAGGGGAGGGCGACGGCCGGAAAACTTGGCGAGACGCGGAGGGGTGGCCTCGGGTTTGGCCTCCGTACGGCGTTTGCCATAAAACAACTTTATCAACTTATAAAGAGAGGGATTTGGTCAATTTGCTGTGATTTTTTGGCTTCGGGGGTTCTGCTCGTTGCACGCAAGCACTGTTCTGATGTTGGCGTTCTTTGTGTGAATCCTGAAAACTTCTTGAATTTCGGGTGAGACCACCAAATTGGCAGTAGAATAGCAGAGGCGTGCTGTGCCATTCTCCACTCGCTGTCCGGTTCGATGCTGGAAGCTCTGTCTCCTCAGAGCAGCCCTCCCTGCCGCAGCACACGTGTTGTGGGTCAGGCCTTCTAGTACCTCCATGTGGTCCTCAGGGCGATCTGTGCTCCCCACAGAGCTCACAGCCTGGAGGTGACAGCCGGACCTCTGGGGTTCTTTGACCCAGAGTGTTTAGAAGCACTCCTCCTGTAGGTAACCCTATCCGTGCAAAGCCAAGCTGGTTCCCAGCAGCTCTGGATCACGAGATCTGCACTCAGTCCCGTCTTCTCGACATGAAAATGCATCTTCAGCACTCACTGCCTTCTCTAATCTGCAGGCACATCTCTCTGGTACATCTGTTAAGCCATTGCAAATCTTTGAACACATTTATTATTCCGTCATAAAGAGCACAGTTGACTATACAGGCACACACATTGTCTTCCACGTGCTGCTGTGTTAATAGCAATAGTTTTTTCGTGACTCCTGTAAAAAGCAAAAGGTGGGTATGAATAATGATGTGGATCGCTGTTAAAGGCCAATAAATGAATAATAATTGAAAGTGAATTGGGAGCAGAGACTCTCTCCCATACTTTATGCTCACGCTTTCCTTAACCTATAGAGTGAGATGTGGCTTGTGTGTGACCCACTCAGAAATGTGAACATGATCCCCTGTCCAGTTGTTCCCCTGTGTGCTGTGGCTGCAGCATCTGGGAGCAGGGAATGAGGGATTGATGTGCAGAGGGGAGAACAGCAGGGCCAGAATTATATTTTCTCCTTTATACTTCAACATTCTTGCACTCCTACAGCTTAGTTTAAAGAGAACAGTAACAATCCTAATTTGTTGTTGCTTCAGACCTGTGACCTCGTCACAGTGTTGCTTGCACATCATCCCTGCTCTGCTTTGCATTAAAGGCATAACTTTACAGTAAATTTGGTTGTTTTGCCTCATTAGGCATCAGACATACAGCACAGTAGGAAGGACTGGGTGACCTGTAATGATTCAGCTGCCAGAAAGAGAGACGTCTAACGCTGACCCCTGTGAGCAAAGCCCTGAACTTAACTTCCTGCCCTGCAGAGCATGCGAGCGGCACCTGCCCAAGTTCAGAAGTTACTGCTGACACAGTAGGCTCCGGTAATTTATAAATCTGCTCTAAAGCAGATAAGTGGATGAAACTCCTTGAAAGATCACATTGAAATCACATTCAGCGGAGTTTTTTGAAGAGTAAATTACACAGCATTTAGGCTGGCAGTGGAAATTAATTCATTAATTAGCACTGCTTGAAGGAATGAAATTCTACCTGATTTTCCAAATACTCCTAATCCAGGTCAGTTTCACAGCCTTCCTGCCTCAGCTTCTATGATCAGTTCCTCCATCAGCCATGGCTGTGCGTCTTCTGCAAGGGAATTGGGATGGACCTGGTTTGTTCCACCAGCACTAGGGCACAGCAGCAGGTGGAAATGTCAACAGCTGGTGCTCTGCTTTGCCTCCTTCATTCATGCCCCGTGGTGGGTTACACTGAGATTACCAACAGCGCTGAACTCCCAGAAACTTGGTTGCCACCTCCATGTGGGGAGAGTATTTGTCTTATGGATATAAGACATATGTAAGATACATGTAAGATACATGCTTATGTATGACTCCCATTAACTGGTTTTAATGGTATGGGATGAAGCCCAGGAACAGTTAAAAGAGTTGTAGGCAAACTCCAAATCAAATTTGATCATCAAAGCATAGGGTAGGGATGGTTTGGTGGGACTGCATGAAGTAGAAGAGAGCTCACAGTTTTCTTCCTTCAGGTCATATGCCCAACTATGCACATACTCAACCAATTCTTCTCCTATTTACACCAGAGGAATTTCTGGTGTGAGGACTGAATTCATGCCAATTCAAATATTATTTATAAAGAGATATATAGATATGTAAGTCACAGTCTTGCTTTCTTCCTTTGTCACCATGATCTTTATGCAAAAATAATTATTCAGAGCATCAGTCCAGAATCTAAGACACCACTGGGAATTAGCAATGTACCTACTGTCCACTCCTATGCAAAATTAGAGTGCATTAACTAAAAAAAGAACATAGCTGTAAAATTTGAACATCATATTGATTGTAGTTTCTTTATGTTGTGTGAGTGCTCACAAAGAATTAGCACATACTTTTTTCCTAAACAAGATAATTTTGTGGCTCCAAAAACTTTATTTCAGTAGATATTAACAAGAACAAAAAAGTTTCCCTCCATAGAGCATTACAAACTGGTACAACAGATGTCAATTTATGTCAGCATCAGCCGATTTTCTTCTCCATTACCCTTTCTGCTGGATCTTTGCTTATTTAGCAGGTCCCAGCTTTTTGACATCCAATGTCATGTTGAATGTTTTTTCACATTTAGTGATAGAAAGCTTGACTCAGCCTGTCTCAAAAGTTGGTGTCGTCATCTACATGATGGTCATTATGCATTATTGATAGTGATGGAAAAGTCATGAATACACACATCTTTGCTGCAGGGCTCAAGCCTTTTTCTTTGGTTGATCGTTTTATTCTCTCTGTGTTTTAATAACAATGTCAACAGAGACTTTTCATTCTGCCTTCACCATGGAAGAGCATCAGTTTCCTGGTGCTGCTGCTGCAGATACAATCCTTTGCCTGATGTTGTATGTGGTTTCTACTTTATCACGTAACTCTGGAAAACATTTTGGTTATCAAAAAGTGATTTTCTAGGGCAATGCAAGCTCTTACTCATGCAACATTAAGAATAATTTTTGTACAGCAAGTGCTTTAAGTTAATAAATAATTCATGTATTTCCCCCAGTGTTACAGTGTAACTCATAAAATTGGGAAAAGAACATTAAAAAGAAATCCCACTACTGCATTATATAGTCAGAGAACAGGTTTCTAATATAACTGTGGAAATTAATCCATAAAAATATGAACTAAATTTACACATTGACATTGTAAGCACAAATAGCAATAAAAACAAACAGTTGGAGATACAGTTATCTTTGACTAGGACCCATATCCTACCTTACAAGTTAGCTGATACGTGTTCTTTGGAGGATGCCAGCCAAACCAGGTTCAGGACACAGGACTTTCTTCCAAATCAATTTAAGCTCAGAATTTACTGCAGCAGTCATAAACAGCCTGTATTCCAAGGGACCCTGAGATGCTCTGCAAATCAACAGGGAGACAGCACAGAGTTCGTGTTTTCCGCCATAAAATGAAAACAGTTCTGGAGCGAAACAGGGTGATGGCTTAATGGCAAATACTTCTATAAAATATGCAGAGTACAGCAGGGGTGATGCTGAAAGGTCACATTTGTCTTTGGCTTCCTGGCTCACCCCACAGAAGCCTCTCCAAATGCCTTGTGCTACAGAAAACACTATCAAAAACCAGCCTGATGCATCAATGGCTCAGAACTGATTCAGAAAACAAAAATGCATTTCATTGATTGAATCAACCAAGTACAGCTTCTAGCAAGGTACAGCATTTTCTGGTACATTCAATAAAAAGAATTCTGTCCAATGTACTGTGCATGTTGTGCTGGAATCCCCTCAAAACAGACCTGACCTCAAGCCCAGTGGCATCCTCTGATGCTCTCAAAACCAGGGCCATCCCACCAGACAGGCTCTTTATGACTTGTTTAGTCTCTCTTGGTGTAGAAGAGGGGAGGAAACCCCTTTGATAAAATTTCTGAGGAAAGCCTAGACTTTGTGATGCCTTTAATCTTCAAAAAGCAGCCTAAATCTGGGACTGCAGTGGCGCTCTGCAGCTCATCCCTCCCTCTCTGGCATTTGAAGAGGAGAGACAATTACAAAGATAGTTAATAGATGGACTGCTTCACTCCTTACCTTGCCTGCTTTTGCTGCAGTTTAGTCATCACAATAGTTTTTTTGGTAAGTGAGCTTCAGATTGAGTCACTGGTATCTAGAATGAATAAATAGATTTTGGTATTAGTCTGGAGGGCTTTGCAGAGCAATCAGATGCTGCATGGGGAGCTGGCAAGCAGGAAGGGCAGGCAAGCATCCCTTGGCCCCTGGCTCTCAGTCCTGCAGAACTGGGCACTGCTGAGTGCTGGGAGCCCATGACGCAGAGCCATGCACTGTCATTATATACTTCAGCTCATTATGCACAGAGACACTAGAGGAAGAGACTTGGAAATGAATTTGTTAGTACGTGTCATCACCATCCACATTTGGAATTCAAGGGCAGGAAAAATATTATACCAGAGATAAAATAATAAAATTGTTGATAAATTCTTTTATTTCTTCAGTTAGAAAAAAAAAATCTGGAAACCTTGAGCAGGGAATAATGAAATTGTACACTTTTTCCTGTAACGACTGAGCCAGTAAAAGGCAGTCATTGAAAATAAGGTCCCTACAGCCAAAGCATTTCATCAATCTCAGCTGCTGTTTTTATGAATGTATTGTATAAAAATGGGTCTTTTACAAATTGTATAAAAGTCTGTCACTCCTTCCCCTATACATCACCAGGGAAGCCATCAATTGTACTTTAGCATCAATCTATCACAGTGATATGCCCATTAATGGATATCATATATCCATTAAATCTTTCACCCTCACACAGAAAGGAATAACAATAGCTCACTGTTAAAAAGACTAAATTTTGTATTTTTTTTAAGTGAATGGCTATATATTAGTCTGACTTTCCCTCCAGAAGGCCAGACTGCACATGCTGAGACTCTTCTACCTCTTTTCCTTGCCAAGATTGCCTTCTTCACTCTCAGCCTAAACAGACATCAGCACTTGCATTAGCTAACACTGCATGGACCAGGGTAGCAACACAGGGAACACAGAGTCATTCAGTCAGCAGCTTATCATGAGTTGGAAAGCATATGAGAGCTGCAGATAAGTCCTGGCACAGCAAGGACTGCATGAGGAAACAGAGTCCTGGGCTGTTGGCAGCGTATATAGCATGTTCAGTGATGAAGATGCAATTGCTATAGCATGGCAGAAAAGAACCACCATAGTGTTCTTAATAAAGCGAATGCTATAGTCCATACCTTCCTGGCTATTATTTCAGCTTTTCTTGCAGATTATGCATGTATTTACACTCAAATCATACTTTCTAAGTTTCATTTACTCAGAAACAAGAATACTTCCAGCCTAAAAGATGAGATTGTGAAGTATAACTCAGCAATGGGGAGTAAGTTCACACCCGCATGAAGTCGTATGCTGGATGGGTGCTCCTTGGCATAAAGAACCTTCTGTAGTTGCTCTGAACTCTGTGGATAGGACACTGAGATGGGGGTCTTTGAATGAATGTTTACAAAAGGTTGCCTCGCTGTCAATATATCTTTGAAAGTAAAAACAAATACAAAGAAGCGCCTTTGTGATCGCATGCAATTATTTACAGAAATAGCTACAATTCCTGCTTAGCCAGTCAAAGGCCATTCAGTGCATGGAAATTCCAGCAATAGACTGAATACTGGGCTTACTGTAAATGAACCAACAGCCCAGTCTGCCAAGAAATAAGACCTTCCCATCATCTGTACACATTTTTAGGAAGCATTTGAAGCAATTTCACAATTTCTTATATTTAATTTTGCTGAGTTGTTATTAGTTCCAATTTTTTTTTGTATGATTCCACTGTCTCTTCTAATTTGCATGTCTGTCAGTAATGTTAAATACTTTTTCTCAATCCCTTAGGGAAAATAGCAGGTTGTGATTAACATCCTTTCAGAGGACCAAGTATGACCAGAGTCTTTTTGAGCACTTCTGTGCCTTGCCACTGCTTTTACCTTATCATTTCTGACTTAAAAGGCTATTGTTACGACTGTGGGACCACCAAGTCATAATGCATGATTTATTATGTGCAGCAGGTGACTTGTAGTTAACATTTATCTCAAAAAGGATGTTATTGTTTGTTTTTGTGTTTTTTTTCCATGTAGCTTTCCCTGGGAGGTTCGTGTTTTTAGCAGTGACAAGATGACAATCCATATTTTTACCCAAGGATCCAGTGAGTCATCCTATTAACTCTGTTGAAATACATGCTTGCCAATCGTCCTGCCACGGTAAGCCTGAGACTCTGAATTCTCTTCATAAACATTATTCAGAAATTAGCTCATAGGATGCATTCAGTAGTACAAATTACCTTTTCGTAAAGTAGTAACTTCTCAGTGATGACCACAGCCCAAAATAGACCAAATATTACATACCACCACTATTTTCAGTTATTAAAGTAGTTTAGAGCAAATGAGAAAACTGAATATACCTCATACCATGTTATTTAAGAGGACATGCATTGTTTGAACCTGGAGACCATGTAAGGAGTAACCTTGTGTGTTGTGGGAACTGATGAAAAAGTGCAGCTTGTCTGTTCTTGAAAATGCTGCCCCATGGTATCCACATGCAGCCGAGAGCAAACACACTGTGAGTCATGATGAAAAAATTCAGCATCCAAAAAAGCCTAATCTCCAGGATGAAATCATACGGATTATGTATTAGTATCAATTCCCAAAGTAAACTCCTTATTTATTCTTCCTTTCTAAGAACTCCAAAACCAGCAAGCCAGTATCCTGCAATGTTTCAGCAGAGGTATAGGCTGCTCAATTCCTTTTCCCAGCTTTGTGCTGCAGAAGAGTTTGGCTGCTCTTGTGCTGTACTGTCTACAGATCAGTTTAGTTTGGGAGAAGGGGTGATCCAGGCTGGTACATGGCTGTGTTGGGTATCTTTCTTGCTTGGGTTGGGCTGGAGAAAAGGCAGTGCACATTTTTGTTGATAATGTCTCTGTTTCCCTTCTTCTTTTGCTTGTTCTGCCCTTAAAGGTGATATTTTATGGCATAGTCCAAGCAAACTGCTTTCTACTCAAGCCTATTTTGCACACCATGCAGCCTTATCTCACCAGAGAACAGCATATGGCCTTGAGTTATTATTTGTTATTTCAGGGTAACTAGATGGTAACTGTACTGAAAACTTATGGCAAATCATGCGTTATCTCACAATAACAGGAAAAATAAACAGTATCTTCACTGTATGCATTAACAGTAATGGAAGGAAAAACTCATGAAAAACCTTGTCCATCTAGTTTAAATGTGTTCACATTGAAGATGCCCCAGGTGTTTTACTGCTTCTGAATCTCTCATGTGCATTCAAATTATGCCCAGACCTCCTTCCACATTCAACATTCTTGCCTTCAGAGCTAAAGCCAGCTGCAGTCCTGAAGCCACTACGTATGGAAAACACTTGAAAATGTCCAGCTTATTAGAGAGCTGTGCTGCTGAATTAAAATAAAGCTTTAGCAAGATATCATAGAAATAATTAATGATGCATATAATGTGTATGGAGCAAAAGCAATACCGAGTTCTTGGGGGACAACTGCAATAGCTACTTTCAGCATTTCTGGAGTAAATTCCAAAATGGCAGGATGCGAAGCTACTACAGCTGGCAAGATATCTTCCTTGATTTCTAAAAGGTCCCTTAGCAACTGGCTTCAGGTGCAGACAAAGGTAAAGGCAACTGGAGTGTTAAAGTATTCCAGATAATTGCTGTAAAACAGACAAACTGGGCAGTAGATGAAATCAAAGGGAAGAGACTAGAGCTAACACAGCTGCACAAGAACTATTTCAGATGTATTCTGTTTGACAATGCCAGCATATTGCAAACCCTTTGAAAATATACTGAAGCAATGTTGTAGAGCACATAAAAAGAGATTCTTAAACAGCTTTCTGGTAAAATATGAGCTAAATTTGATGAGACTGTCCTCTAGACTGCATCTGTTTCCATGAAAATTCTGTGCAGCCTTAAAGTTATCATTACTCTGGCAGACTTTCCTGATAGAGCTGTAAAGCCAGATATAGTCCTATTATTTTTTTTTATGAAGCTGGCATATGGCAGAATGCTAAGAGTTGATTAACTAAATCTTTTATCACTGTGAAACCAAACTCTTAGTTGTTTGGTCCAAAGATTTTAAATTGGTCAGAATTCAGGGTCCAATGCAGTATATAGTAGAAGTATAAATCCCATAAACAAACAAACAAACAGAACCTAAAAAAGTCCCTAGAAGAGAATTTCAATAAGTTCCAAATGCTGATGAGGTAAGAAGGAAAGATAACACTTTTCGATACACAATCGGAAGGCTATTTGTTCTTTTCGCTGTCGCAGTGCTAGTGTTTATGCAGCCTTCCATTTGCCCATGGATGGACTTCAAGATGGAACTCTGAATATAAAGCATATGAAATGCTTCCAGCTATTCACATGGAAGAAGTCGCAGAAAGGTTGTTCTTTGGCAGGGAGCAACAGGCCAGGCCTAAGGAATACAGATGCGGCAGGGTGACAACTCTCAGTGTCACACACAGAATCACCCAAATGGCACAGCTGCTGGCAATGGGGCATGAGATACATCTGCCTCCCAGGATCATTCTCCCTAGCAGACATCACCAGTTCCCAGTTTCCATGCAGTCATAGCTGAGAATGAAGCTGCCATTCAGTCTCCATTCCCACAAACCCAGCGCTCCTTCCCACCCTCCTCATTGTACAGGGCTTCCAGTGAGCTGCCTTCTCATTTCTCACCATCTCGCTCACTTTACACTAGTGAAGTGCTTTAATTAGTGCTTTGACTAATTATGGTCTTAAGATTTCTGCTGATTTATTGCTTCTGAGTTTTACTTGTATTCATAATAACTCCTGACATTAGGTTGAACACCTCAGTAAATAAATTTGCCACTAGTTAAGAAATAAGGCTCCTAATGACTATAAAATAGCCTGGAAATTGTTCTTGTTCCCTAACAAGATTAAGGGAAAGAACAAGAGAAAATCCTTCTAAGAACGTGCAGAGTTATGCACTGTTACAAACTGTAAGAAAATTATACAATTAAAAGAAAACCCAAACTTATCCAGGTCTGTCTGTAAATTAATTATGTTCTTGAAAACATAATTCCATTTTTTTCTGAGACATTTTCCTGTCAAATCAGAAGGCACCATTTCAGCTCTGGACTCTTAGCATTTTTTGTAAAAGATTTCTCAGACACAAATGTTGAGGCTCTGAACTGACAAACCATCAGCAGATTCTCCAGGAGTCGCTTTAGATGAATGAAATTTTAAGGTGCTGCTCTTAGAGGAGTGGAAGTTATCCAATTTCTCTTTGATGCAAAAGAACTATTCAGTGACATTACCTTTGACAGCAAAGTCATTTTTAAATCTTAGTAAATAGCAATGAGATCTAAAATAACTAATAACATGTAAAAATAAAGGATGGATTTCCAATCTTACTTAGGGGCTTCCATCTTCCAGCTTTCCAAAAGTGTTTTAAGTGGGTTCCTCTGCTAAAAGAAGGGGTTTGAACATTCTCTTCTCAAAGCCCTTTATTTTTTTTAATCACAGCATTAACCTTGGAAAGCTTTATCCTTTATCTTCTAGGCAGATTTCTTTGCTGGCTCTGTTGAGAAGTTTTAGGGTATCAGTGCAGACTGGAAGGGGTTTTCTTTTCAGCACTGCAAACCCTAACTTGGAGCACTGATTCCTGATTGCTGTTGGACAGTTATTGGAACAGAAGCAAAATAGTTTGCATCAGAAATATAAAGGAAGCAACTGCACAGTTGTTGGATATCCAATTTTAAATTGTCAGAAGTGGTATTAAAGGATGCATGCATACAGATAACCCACAGAGACTAAAGTACATTCAAGGCATTTGACTGGGTAAACAACGAGCATGTTGCATCATTTTTATTTTTTTCATTGTGCAAGTGAATGAAGATGCAAAGAACATTCTAGACAGGACAGAAATAACTCAATTTGCTCATTTTAGCTCAGTGAAATTTGGAGTTTCATTACAACCAGCAAATATTTCGTGTTATTAACCTTTGAGTAGTTTTAAATGAAATCTGTACAGTTTACTGCATTGGCTTTGACTTATTATATGATAGCACAACAGTTTCTCCACAGGATTAAAACCTGAACTGCATTAAAATTCAATTAAAAGCCTGTGAGAAGTGCAGTGGTTCACTCAGAAAGTTAATTCGAATTGTGTCTCTGTGTAAAAGGAACTGCTTTGTCACTGCACAGAGGAACCAAGATGTTTCTGTCATTGCAGAGTGAAATGCAGACCCTCTTGTATTTGAGTACATTCTAATGTTTTTCTCTAATTTCTGTTTCTCCATAGTTAGCCAACCTACATCACAATGACTGAGGACTTAGACCACAGGTTCAGTAGTCTCACTTGGGATCAGATTAAAATCCTGGATCAAGTTTTAGCAGAGGTAATACCCATTCATGGAAGAGGGAATTTTCCAACACTGGAAGTAAAACCAAAGGATATAATTCGTGTGGTTAAGGAGCAGCTCATTGAAAAGCAAATCAACATACGAGATATCCGCCTGAATGGTTCAACAGCTAGCCACATCCTAGTGAAGCATAATGGAACAAGTTATAAGGACCTAGACATCATTTTCGGGGTGGAACTCCCAAGCGAGCTTGAGTTTCAGGTTGTTAAGGAGGCAGTTCTTAATTGCCTATTAGACTTTTTGCCAAAATGTGTTAATAAGGAAAAAATCACTGCCCAGACTATGAAAGATGCCTACGTGCAGAAGATGGTCAAAGTCTCCACGGATCACGATCGCTGGAGCCTCATCTCACTGTCAAACAACAGCGGCAAGAATGTGGAGTTAAAGTTTGTCAATTCGCTCAGGCGACAGTTTGAGTTCAGCGTGGACTCCTTCCAAATCGTGCTGGACTCCATCTTAAATGTTTACAGAGAAACAGACTGCAAACTGACAGAAGACTCTCACCCCACTATTATTGCGGAGAGTATGTATGGAGACTTCAATGAAGCAATGGACCATTTAAAATACAAACTGATTTCCACGAGGAACCCTGAGGAAATCAGAGGAGGTGGCCTTCTGAAGTACAGCAATCTCCTGGTTCGTGACTTTAAGCCAGCAGATGAGGCTGAAATTAAATCTCTGGAACGTTACATGTGCTCCAGATTCTTCATTGATTTTCCAGATGTTGCTGAGCAGCAAAGGAAAATTGAGTCATATCTGCGCAACCACTTCATCGGGGAAGAAAAAAGCAAGTATGACTACTTGATGACTCTGCGTGGAGTTGTAAATGAGAGCACAGTCTGTCTCATGGGACATGAGCGAAGACAAACTCTGAATATGATTACAATTTTGGCTTTAAAAGTTCTCGGAGAACAAAATATTATCCCAAACGCAGCTAATGTAACATGTTATTATCAGCCTGCTCCTTATATCAGTGACAGAAACTTCAGCAATTATTACATTGCTCACGGACAACCACCTATCATCTACCAGCCATACCCATTTCACATACAAATGCAAAGTGGCATGGTTTAGGAACACGGTAACCTTCTCAGCACTCGCACCCCTCTCTTCCTACTTCTCTCCGTAATAAAGGCCTCATTCAACCAAGTTTTATTATCACTTTTGATTTGAAGACATACTTTTGTGCAAGTTGCCAAAGTTATTTGGTCAATGTCTCCAACACCTTTAAGCAGATCACAAGAAAAATGTCTCTCGTTATTCACGGTGATATATTTATGTCTCCCACTTGTGTTTGGATGAAAAGAGAAGGATATAAATTATTCTAATTCTATAAGATGAAATGCACTAAGTTCTGGGTTCTAATAAATTCTTAAGCAAAATTTTGAAAGTGTAAAATTAAGCTAATCAGATACCTCTCAGTAGAAATGCCTAATTCTAGAATTGCTGGTGTTCTGGGTACTTTACACTAGAGCATCCAACAGTTATACCCATGCAGGTTCCAACACCATTTATTTACAGCATCGTTTGAAAATGCACAACAAAGGACTGTTTCTGGATGCACTGAGTGCACTCTGTAAGCTATACCTGGTCGTTTCCATCAGAGATATGAGGTCCCTTCCCCACTCCTCAGTAGGGTTTGGGATGAAATATCCCTACCACAAGCAGAATCAGACTTTTTGGGTATCCAAAATTGCTGCCGATTTGAGTGATTTTGCTACTAAAGAGTTGAACCCCAGGTTCTGACTCACAGGTAATAAAAGAGATACTACTATTCTGATTAGATTAGCCCTGAACAACAAGGTAACAGAGTGAGAAGGTGAAAATTGAGCACACAGGGCTTGCTTTCTATTGCTAATTTGTTATTGATCAGAGATGCTTCAATGCATAATAAACAGAGTCAGGGGAAAAGAACAGCCCAGGACTACGTTGTTTTTAGGTGAATTAAAACAAACCCTTGGCAGTAGCATCAGAACAAAAAGTTTTATAATGGTAGTGTCACATCAGCTTCCTTACCTGCACTCATACCCCAGTAGCAAATGAAGAATTCTCTTATGTTCAGGAAGCATTGCAAATTTCCATCTGTGTTTACCAAAGATAAGTTTAAAACATGTCACATAAGTGCCTCCCTGTGCCAGTTGCTCTGTGAAAGTTAGAATGCTGTCTGCAGTTGTGCCAGAGAGCTCCTGAATGATAAGAAGGGAAAGAAAAGTATATAGCCTTTGTAGCCTTAGTATGAGCAGGTTTGGAACAGAGGGTGCTGAGGTTGCTCTCTCCAAAACACCTCCAGTTTAGCTGCTGAATGAGGTACAGAAGTGATGGAAAAAGGAATGAAGGGATGCGGTTGTAAAATCAGAGCAGTCAACTGGAAATGCAAGCAACAGAGTTTTGTACATCTGATGCTTAACATGTCACTGTGTCACATTGGCATTCATTACTGGTTCATTTTGTGTCCTCCTCCTCATTTTTAAAAGCATTGAGTACATTTTATCTATTTACAACAAGTGTCAGGTGTTAGAAATTTCTACTTGGAAAAGAACATCTGATCTATTTTACACAAAAGTATGTTACGTACAAATATTTAAAACATCTGCAGGATGTGTAAGGTCTGTGATGTTCTACTTACCAGTGAAATGTAGCTTCCCCATCATATGCCTGTACAGTAGAACAAAGAGCTTTTTAAAAACAACTTTGTTGACCATCATCACTACAGTTCATCCTTTTCTGTAAAATACAGTGCAAAAAACATAGTGCAGAGTAATAAATTAGAAGTGCAACATTAAGAGAGTACACTGATCTACCTGAAAGTTGATTCAATTGGTGATTTTTCCTTGAATTATTTTACTGCTATTTTCCCTGATTACTCAAGTCCAATTCCACATCTAAAAGCACAGTTTATTTCACTTCCACTAGTATCTTTTCCACTGATTAAACTATATTTCATAAAATAGGCAATTCTAATTGCTACATTATCAAATGTGATAATGCTATGAAAAGATTCCCTGCCAGAAGCAAAATGGAGTGAGACACGGTGCATTTTTTTCTTAACTGGGTTGTTTATTTCATAGAGTGCACCTTTAAATTTAGTTTGATATTTTGCAAACTAAATAGCACTGTGAATTTTTGTAAGAGCCTTGTTTAGATTGTGCCCCTGCTTGTGCTTGCTCAGCACATGCTCTCCGCAGGGCCAGGAGCTGCAAGCTGGGCTGTGCACAGCTGGGACACCCAGACAAACCTGCAGGAGTCGGGCAACACAGCGCCTTTGCCTTCGTTGGCTCTTGCACTCCCTGAGTTTGCTCGACTTAGCCCAGCTCCGTTGACCTGTGATCATAATGTAACGTTGCTACAGCAACTTACTACTCCTCTCCTGAATCTCTCACTTCCTGGGAGGACAAATGGGTCGAATGCCTCAAGAACCAGAAAGCAGGTCAACTAAGAAGGGGGTGTTCTCAATATACTGGATATACCCCATGATCCACTACCTGCAGAAATATTTCAAGAAATTGTGTTTGTTGGTTTTTCGTTTTGTTTTAAACCAAGTGGAAATGTGTATCCCCTGCAGGAAGGACTACAATTCTGTTTTGAATCACACATGCAAAATGATGAACTCTGGACTTGTGTGAACCAGCCTGTCCACTTGTACAGCAACTGCTCACTCAAATATATATATTTCATTATCTTACATCTTTGTTTATAGATCCAGGTTAGATAAGTTAGGACTCAGCCAAAGTCCACTGAGCTAGAGGGGAGGATCCAGCTAACTCCAATGGACTTCGGGTGAGACCCCAAAAAGTGCAAAGGATTTCTGTGAGTACCTAAAGGTACAAAGACATCAATATGCAAAAATGTCTCAGGTATAAATAAACCCTTTAACTTTATTGAAAAGGACTTGTATTTCTTACCTACAGGTAGTTCCATTTTGAAGCTTCAGCAAGGTTTGCGATTTTATATATATAATATATATAAAATCTCACGTGTCTACACATGTACAGGTCATTAACAATATCTGATGTTGTCTTTTAAATATTTCCTTCCAAATGCTGAAGGAGATCTGGCAGCAGAGTTTGAACTGGAGGTGGTTTTTAAGGTAGTATTGATTCCGTAAAACTATTTTAGAACGGAGATGAAGTTGTACAGACCGCTGCTTGCAAAGCACTGATAACAATATGTAAAACGTAATACTTTCACCTCTACTCCAGCTGTTACCTATTTCACTATGTGCAAATCTACAAAGAATTGAGAGGGTCTTCTCAGCACCAGTATCCTAAGCTTCACATTTACAATATATCATGTTGTTATGATCCGTTCAATCATTACTATACCTGGAAATTGTAAGGTTGATTTTATTTAATCACAGAACTTCTCAAGGTTTACAGCTTACAGTAATCTAATGTTGTCAGGATGTAATTGTTGAAGTTTTAAGTGCTTTCCTAAAAAAAGTCATTTGAATTTTGTGTTATGTTGTAAAAGGTCCATTTGAAGCATATACTTTATGGTAGTTCCTTTCAAATGTAATTTGTGAGCTTTATACTCCACATATTACAGAGGTTTTTGTGATGGATAAAAGAAATGTAAAACTGTCCTTGCTCAAGCTGTTATATTGTCTGTTGTGTTACACTGATCCTGTAAAATAATGGATCCAATTTACCACTGTGCCACTTTGATTTTTTAGCTACGTAATTTGACTTATGTTAGGAGTTATGTCAACATAAACTTGGATCTGGAGTTACACAGGGGGTATCCAACACGATGTTTAGAAATACCTGGAGAAAGAACAGCACTGAGTTCAGACAAGTCGGAATAGCTGGGATTCTAATGGTCAGTTTTTGTTTGATATATTTTCCTTTTGTCTAAAGAAATGGGAGGATATACAGAAACAAAGCTGTAAGAGGTATTTCACATAATGTGCCATCTGAAGCTGTTTAAAAAACCATTGTAACGCTAAAAACGTGTACTGATCACACAGATCTGTAGGCCATTAGTCCACAGTGTTGACTAGTGCCTTTGGGTATTCGGGAAGCAATCATTAAAATAACTTTCTTGTTAAACGAATGGTTTGCTTGTAATATACTCACTGTTCTGTCTGGATGTCAGCCCAAATTTGCCGACTTCTTGCTGGGGATGTCAGGCAGCCAGACCGGAGCATCGTGACTGCAAGTGGGAAAGGTTTGGTTACGGTTTGTTGGGTCAGTAAGCCGCAGACTCAGAGCTAGCAGCAATCCGGCTGTCAGACAGTTAAGGCTATATTCAGATGCTCATAAACATCTGTGATACATTTCAGTGCCTCCACACCAGTTTGTCGAACAGGCTTGTGTCACATTTTAAGTGCCTAGTTATACATTTATGTAATAAAGACGACTGTCTGCTGGGTAAATAAAATGAATACTTAACTTGACAAATTATTTGGCTCTACACGTGCATAAGAATACATTTTACTTACTCTGAATGCATATTCACATAAATCTGAACACATTTATCCAGGCTGAAAGACCGCTATCGAGTGTGAGCACTGACTTGTGCTGGTGGCTTTGGGAAATGGTCAGAGAAAGTCCTACACATTCTGGGTTTTCTGAGGGGTGGCATCTTGGGCTGGGTTCTGAACTACTGATTATTAAATTCTAAGATTTTTGTAGAAAGAACCATGTCAATGCTGCTCTTTCTACCTTGGGTTAGACCCTACACGCTCTCTCGGTGCCTTACAGCAGAGAAGAACAAGCATTCAGAGGTTTCAGCCTGGTATTAGAGGTCAGAGATCCCAGATGTAGTTATTAATTGCATTTTGTCCCCTTACAGTGCCAGCCATGCAGTACTAAGAGATGCTGCTTGGGTTCACATACGGTAATAATGAGCCCATTTGGTGGAAGCAGGGAGAACAGAAGCAGCAGGGGATTTGTGGCTTTTGTTCCTTTCTCCCCAGGTTCAAAACACGCTGTCCTCTTTCACAGGGGAACGGAGAAACTTTTGTAAAAGTCTCCACCTCCCCATTTTTCAACCAGAAATAGCCATTTAATCATAAACTTCATTTCCTAACCATTGCTTTTCTTTTATGCAGCCATCTTTTTAATGGTCTCTCTTAATAAAAAAGGTAAGTGGGAAATGGGAAGGCAGTCTACACAGGGGATGTTCTTTTCCTCAGATATTCACCACACACTCTCCTAAGGAGTTCAAAATCTAAAGCAATGCACAAAGGTAATGGAGGGCTGCTTTATTTTCTGATCTCTGCTTCCCCGTTTTTCCTACTCTATCAGTCTCTATCACTAAGACCTATTTCATAAGCAAGTGACTTTCTTAATGGCTGCTTCCATATTCAACTCCATTTCATCTTGCGCCATTGCAGAACCTGTGTTTCTGAAATCACAATTAGTTACCATGGAAAGCAATTCAACAGCATAATAAATAGCCACTCACTCAGCTATGTATTAGAAAATAAAAATACATGTCCTCTGGAGAACTGGATTGAGATCATATGCATATATGTTATCATATGCATACTTGCATGCATGGGCAAATATGAACTCATTGGAAAATACAATTTCATACTCTATTTTTTTTGTATGCTGGTTGCATGTGAATATGAACAGAAGAGCAAACCCAGCAGAGATGCAGCCTCACAAACCTTGCCTTCCACTAGGTCCTTTTCCCCATCCTGTACTGCATTACCCTGAAGATATTCTCACCCTGAGCCTCCAGGCTGTGCTGGGAGCTGCCTCCGTGCCCATCAGTTCTTCCCCAGTGTTTTACCACTTCCTGACAATAAGCTGCAGCTGCAGCTCATGGAGTATCCTGAAGGATAAAAATTGATGCAGGAGTATCTCTCTTCTCATTGTATTGCCTGCTTATCCCCAACAGTTCCCAGGTAATGAGATTTACCAGTGGAGGGTCTGGATTCATTACCCGCCTCAAACAGTTCATGTACTCCCATCAGATTGGAACAAAGAGCATCGAACTCCTCCTATTAAAGCACCAACAACTTTTCACTTTTTCAGAAGTCAATTAAACTGTAAGTTACAGCCCAAACATTCAGTAGCATTTTCAACCAAAAGAGGCATAAGAAACTGCGCTGTTGTGAGATTCAGTAGTGTGCAACAAAGACAGCTGATCTGGTACCAGCCTCTAAATTACCCATTGATTATCCCTTTCATTAAATAACATATTCAGTCAATGAATTCTCAACCCTTATTGTAGGAAACAAGCTTACCAGGTGCATTTCCAGCCAGTGAATGTCTATAGGCAGAGACATCAGGGTGCAGCAGATGTGACCTTCAGAGCCCATGTGGGAACAGCTCCTCACCACCCCCTAGTCCTCACAAAAAAAGGGACTGCAGAACAAAAGCCACAAGATTTGTGGGACAAGCAAGCTTTCGGCAAAAGTTTGTCTCCCCATTAAGGTATTAAGCCAGACTATAAAGCAGCACTACAACGTTTTTTGGTTTTTAGTTTGTCGTGAAAGTTGTTTTGTTCTTTCTCAACTTGTGCTTTGTCTTGCTTTTAACATCTTCAGTTTGAAAGTTGCATTTTCCCATATTTTAGTTGCTTTTCACCTGCTTTGCTTCTGGCATTTGTTTTCTTTCATGCTTA